AAAAAAAAAAAAAAAAATTGCTACGGAGTGAAAGCATTTGTTTAGTTGCTCTCCTTGTAACTCTGCACGAGTTGCTAAACTTTTTTTTTTTCTCTCTCTCTCTCGCGGCGTGATCCTGCCTCTTTCCCCCCACAGTCAGCTCCACATGCCGGGCACCGGTCGACTGCTCATCGAACTGGGAAGAGAAGAAAAAAAAAAAAAAAAGAAGCATCCCGTTTTTTTCTTTTTCCAAGAGGAAGAAGTTACAAGTTGACTTTTTCTGTAGCAATGCATCTTTCCTTCTTCACCCTTTAGATGCTATAGAGGGGAGAAAAAAAAAATAAATAAAATAAAAAGGCAGTTTGGGAAGAACCCGAATAAAGTTCCCTGCGTGTGGTGTGCTGCACTGTAAAGGAGAGAAAGAGCGACACAGTCAGCCAAACAGTCAGTGACATCGTCAGCCACATAGTCAACTACATAGTCCGTGACATAGTCCGTGACATAGTCCGTGACATAGTCCGCGACATAATCCGCCAGCGCGAGCAGAACGGAAGGCTCCTTATCGACGTACCATATGCGGAGCAGAAAACACACGACGTGACGGAAGAGGTGGCGATCGTTGCCCTTCCACATTGTGGAATCGCAACCCGCGTGTGCCAAGGAGAGCAGGTCGCTAGTTGGAGCTACACCGCGCATGTAGGTCCGTTCTCCTCAGCGAAGTAGCAAAGCGGCAGGAATATATAAAATGTGCCAAGTGAGGAAAAGGCACGCCTTCCTGCTCTTTTTCCTGATTAGCAGCCTCTTCATTTGGGAGGAACAAAGTGGAAAGAGAGTAAACTCATTTTCGGGGGTGTCCCCCCTGGGGGGGAGGCGCACCTTCTTCATTGGCGGGCCCCTGCAGAGGGAGGACCTGGGGAGGGGAAGTGGAGCCCCACGCACCAGACAAACCCTCGACGGAGCGCAGAAAAGGCACTTCCAGGCGGACGGGGCATTGGGCACCAGGCGGGGCGCACACAATGGCAGGCTCTTCTACAGCGTGGGGAGCCCATCCCGTGAGAGGAGCTTGGAAAATGGGCTAGCTGATCGGCGAGATGGAAGGGTAGCTGGACTATCTGCGCGGCCAGGTGTGCACTCGTCTGCGCGTACCCCCCCCCTGCGCATGAGCGACGAGGAGTATACGATAAACTCGGACGACTACACGGAGAAGGCCTGGGAAGCGATAACCACGCTCAATAAAATTGGAGAGAAGTATGAATCCGCCTATGTAGAAGCGGAGATGCTGCTTCTCGCGCTGCTGAAGGATGGGCCGGAAGGATTGGCACAGAGAATCCTGAAAGAGAGTGGCATCGATACAGATCTCCTCGTCCAAGAAATCGATGAGTATCTGAAGAAGCAACCTAAAATGCCTAGCGGATTTGGAGAGCAGAAAATTCTAGGGAGGACCTTACAGGCAGTATTAGGGACAAGTAAAAGGTTGAAAAAGGAGTTCAATGATGAGTACATATCGATAGAACATCTCCTCTTGGGTATCATCGCAGAAGACTCCAAGTTCACTCGCCCCTGGTTGATGAAGTACAATGTGAATTATGAGAAAGTGAAGAAAGCAACAGAGAGAGTTCGAGGGAAGAAGAAGGTGACTTCTAAAACACCAGAGATGACGTATCAAGCGTTGGAAAAATATAGTCGTGATCTGACTGCTTTGGCTAGAGCAGGGAAGTTAGATCCTGTTATTGGCAGAGATACCGAAATTAGGAGAGCGATTCAGATTCTATCTAGGAGGACAAAGAATAACCCTATCCTTTTAGGAGACCCAGGGGTCGGAAAAACGGCAATCGTGGAAGGATTGGCTATAAAGATTGTCCAAGGAGATGTACCCGATTCGTTGAAGGGACGAAAGTTAGTCTCTCTCGATCTGTCTTCTCTAATCGCCGGAGCAAAGTACAGAGGAGATTTCGAAGAGAGACTCAAGGCTATACTGAAAGAAGTACAAGACGCTGAAGGGCAGGTTGTCATGTTTATCGACGAAATTCACACAGTGGTCGGGGCAGGAGCAGTGGCGGAAGGAGCTCTAGATGCAGGGAATATACTGAAGCCTATGCTCGCTAGAGGAGAGTTAAGATGCATTGGTGCAACGACAGTCAGTGAGTATAGACAGTTTATAGAAAAAGACAAAGCTCTGGAGAGGAGATTCCAACAAATATTGGTAGAACAACCCAGTGTCGATGAAGCCATTAGCATATTAAGAGGACTAAAAGAAAGATACGAGGTGCACCATGGGGTGCGTATTTTAGACTCTGCACTTATTCAAGCTGCTGTTCTGTCGGACCGATACATCAGTTACCGATTCCTTCCCGATAAGGCCATCGATCTCATCGACGAGGCGGCGTCAAATCTGAAAATTCAGCTGTCGAGTAAGCCCATCCAATTGGACAACATCGAGAAGCAGCTCGTGCAGCTCGAAATGGAGAAAATATCCATCCTGGGAGATAACCCCCGGGGCGGCGGACCCCACACCGTGAGGAGCAGCGCAGCAAGCAGTGGCAGCCATAGTGCTACACAGGGCGGCCCCACTACGCAGGGAGAGGACCCCCCCGTGGACTACTCCCAGAGCCCAAATTTTCTGAAAAAAAAAATCAACGAAAAGGAAATCAACCGACTGAAGATGATAGATCACATCATGAGTCAGCTGAGGAAGGAGCAGAAGAGTATCCTCGAATCCTGGACGTCTGAAAAGAGTTATGTGGATAATATCCGGGCGATAAAGGAACGAATCGACGTGGTCAAGATAGAAATCGAAAAAGCGGAGAGGTACTTTGATCTAAATAGAGCCGCTGAGTTAAGGTTCGAAACTTTGCCTGACCTGGAAAAGCAGCTCAAAAAGGCAGAGGATAACTACCTGAACGACATTCCAGAAAGAAGTCGTATGCTCAAGGATGAAGTGACCAGTGAAGACATCATGCATATCATAAGTCTCTCCACGGGAATACGATTAAATAAGTTGCAAAAATCTGAGAAAGAAAAGATTCTAAATCTGGAGAACGAATTGCATAAGCAGATCATCGGACAGGATGATGCTGTGCGCATTGTCTCCAAAGCGGTGCAACGGTCCAGAGTAGGGATGAATGATCCCAAGAGGCCTATAGCCTCGCTGATGTTTTTAGGCCCTACAGGGGTAGGAAAGACGGAGCTGTCAAAAGTATTAGCGGATGTTCTATTTGACACCCCAGATGCAGTCATCCATTTTGACATGTCGGAATATATGGAGAAACACTCCATAAGTAAGCTTATCGGAGCTGCCCCTGGTTATGTCGGATATGAGCAAGGAGGTCTCCTAACAGACGCAGTGAGGAAGAAACCCTACTCCATTATCCTATTTGACGAAATTGAGAAGGCACATCCAGATGTCTACAATCTGTTATTACGTGTGATTGAGGAAGGGAAGTTAACTGATACGAAAGGGAACCTTGCCAATTTTAGGAATACCATCATCATCTTCACCTCTAACCTGGGCAGTCAGAGCATCCTAGATCTTGCGAACGATCCAAACAAGAAAGAGAAAATAAAAGAGCAGGTAATGAAGTCAGTAAGGGAAACATTCCGTCCTGAATTCTACAATAGAATCGATGACCATGTTATCTTCGATAGTCTCTCCAAGAAGGAACTCAAACAGATTGCTACCATAGAGATTGAGAAAGTGGCGAACCGACTCATTGACAAAAATTTTAAGATCTCCATCGATGATGCCGTTTTTTCCTACATTGTCGATAAGGCATATGACCCTGCCTTTGGCGCCAGGCCTCTCAAAAGAGTCATACAGTCCGAAATTGAGACGGAGATTGCCGTCCGCATTCTGAACGAGACCTTCGTGGAGAATGACACCATCCGGGTGAGTCTCAAGGACGGCACGCTGCACTTCGCCAAGGGGTAAGGGCTTCTGCTAAGCGGCACGCCAATGGTTGAAGGGGTTTCCCCACTTAGCCACTGAGCAGTGTGCTTTTTCCAACTGAGCAGTGCGCTTATTTCCACTTAACTATGCGTTCCTTACCCCTTAACTTTGCGCACCTACCGCGTCCACTTTTTTGT